AATTATCTGGAATTACAGGACGATCATTAAAAAATATTATTTCCATAAATTGCTGAACAAATACTGCGAGGATTAAGGAATTAGTGTGGAACGTTCTGGAAATTTGATAGTAACCTTAATTTGTCGTAAATGAAATGTGCACCGGATTTAAAGGAATTAATGTTCGACAGAAATGACATAATCTCATTAGCTTTCTTTTCTTAGCTTAATAGAATGAAACAGAAAATGCTCAACGAAGGGATTTACTTTATTAATAATTGAAACACATCAATTCAACATTAACAATATAAAAATTCTGTGAGTACTACAAATTTTTATTTTATCTTTCTGATAATAGCAAACGTTTAAGTCAGTCTTAAATCAAATTTGTTCAAAATGTTACTTAAAGGGTGAAATATATACTTTTTAAGTAGTATAACTCAGACATGGCCAGACAGGCAAGAGTAGCAGAGCTGTATGCATAATGAAACGTCATAAAGTATTAGAGCTCCGTATATAATCAAACAAAAGTAGTACAAGTCAATAAATTGTTACACGATAGAAGGTCCTAGATCACGTTTTCCATTATAAGATATCGTACATCAAATTTCAATGCTCTTACATTTCTTTTCACGAAGACAGGACACTTTAGCACCACATTTTCTTATCTGAAATTATAAATTCCGTCTTGTAAACCTCGACAGATAGATAAATTAAAACTTTTCAACCGTCAGTTCCTACAACGCATCAGTTAACGTTTGGAACAGGAAAAAAATAAAAAACAATAACGAAACGTAAATTTATCCATTAATCTACGACCCAACATTCAAAAGAGAAAAATAAGGAAACAATAATGAAACCTAATTTTCCTCATTAGCAACTGGACAATTCCTATTGACATACGTGGTCTACCTAAAAATTTCTATATAAACCCTCAACGTTTAAAAGAAAGACAAAGAAAAATCCAATAATAAAATATAATTTTCTCGATTAATACCTACACAATTTCTATTAACCTACGGGATCCAACTACCAATTCCTCCAATCCATCACCTAATATTCAAAAGAAAAATAAACAAACAATGAACTCTACCTAATCACCAATAAACCAATTTCTATCAACACGTGACTCAACCACCAATTCCTCCGATCCATCGAACGTTTAAAAAAGGAAACAACGAAACGTAACTTTCCTCGTTAACACCTACATAATTTCTATTGACACGCGTGACTCAACCAATCGCTCGAATCCACCATCGAACATTTAAAAGAGCGAGAAGAGGAAGAGGAATAAACAAAAACTAAAGAAACAATAATGAAATGTAATTTACCCCATTAACGGCAGGACAATTTCTGTTTCCGTCCGTCAAAGCGGCCGGCCCCAGTGTCCACAGCGGAGGCAATCAACGAACGGCCCTCGAAATCGTTTTTCCGCTTCCGGTGGGAAGCCCGCGGAACTATTTAATTCATCGCGAGTCGGCCAGTTAATGAGTTTTCACGGCGCAACGGCCACATTACCGGTCCCGAATATTCATTGCGTGCCGCGGAACACACGCCTGCTAGATTTACGCGCCTCGTTCCGATGTCGGAGGTCCGCCGGGAAGATAAAAAGCCCGTAAATTTCCTCGAACGCCGGACGATAAGGCGCGCAGTCCGCCGGGCGGGCCGCGTCGCGTAAAATGAAAACAGAACACGTGCCCGGCGCAAGTCGCCTGGCCCGGTTTCCGTTTTGGCAGCGTTATTAGGGTAACGATTGTGCATCGTGACAGTGATAATGACGATTGCGGTCGCGCTCGCCGTTCAACTGTCCGTTTACGGTGATCGTAACGCGTTATATGGGCCGTTTATTGGGCATTTGCTGGGGGACCATGTTTTCTTGGGTGCTTCAGTGTTTAAAGATGTGTTCTGTGGTATTCACTGGATAGTTTCTGTTTGTTTGATGGGGCTGTAGGTGATTTTGTAATGATTCAATGGTAGTATT